CCACGATGAAGAACAGCAAAGAAGTAGACCTCAACGACCAAGAGAACAACACCAGACGGCTCCCCCGAGACAACTTCGACAATGAGACAGAGCAGCAGCTAAGTTCGAACTCGAAGAAGCTAAAGTTGGAAGGAGAAGGAGCTTGGAAAAAAAAAAAATCTTTGCTTGTGAAATGAATAAATACCCATCATGTCAAGCCTTTCTACTTGTTTGTTTCCCCAAGCCTTCGTTTGCCAAATAGAATTTTTGGGCTTTTAACATCCTAACTAAGGTTTGGACCATCCTAACTAAGGAGAAGAATGGACGACAGCGACCACACTCTCAAAGCAAGGACACCCTCGACGTAGGAAGAAGGGACGATGGCAAGCAAGAAACAACGCGTGCAACACACACGGTCGAAATCGGGTGGCAGCGGCAGCGATTTCTTGTCAGATCAGGCAGAGCAAAGGAGAACAAGGTCAAGGTATTACAATGAAGCCTGACTGTTCGGAGGTTAAGCAGAGCAAGGAGAGGATCGGGTAGGAGATAATGAAAAGAGAGAAGTCATGAAATGCTTCCCAACATCTTCCACTTGACTCAACGCAGTGTTAGAAAAGCCAAGGTTGCCAGCTTTGTTAAAATCGGCCGTTCAGACCTAAACCTTAGTTACTACCTTTTTTTTTCTGTTTTTTTTTTTTAATTCAAACAGGAATTTTTAGGCTTTTAACATCCTAATTAAGGTTAAACCATCCCAACTTAGGTTGGAATGTTATCCAAACACACACAAAGTCTTTCCCTTTTCAAGTCTTTACTTATGCGAAACGCTAGTGGAGTCAATTCTATTAAATGATTTTTGTGCGTAATTGATTTTTTCATTCTAACAGGTTTGGACTATCTTTTTTTGATATTTTATAATGCTGCTTTTAGGTGAGTCTGTGTTTAACCATCTGTTTGTGTGCACAATTATTTCCCCAGCACAAGACATGGAAATATATTAATATTTTATAATAATTTATATCATATATATACGTGTTTTTATTTTTAAATTTTATGATAATGTGTATATAATTTACAAATAGTTATTGTAATATCACTTAAACATCTTATAACTAAAATAATGTATTATCATATATTTTTTTGGCTAATCATATTTATATATCAAAAGAAGTAACGTTTGTAATTTTATTATCTACGGCAGTTTAATTCGAAGTTCATCACTGCTTAAGCATTGATAATTTTCTGCGAACTTTTAACCAATGTTTTTAATATTTGGAACGAATGGTTAGACTACATTCTAGATGAAAGAGTGGCTCGATTTGAGTCATTAACTCGTTATAAAAATTGGCGTCTAAAAATATCTTAAAGTATTAAATCATACATATTGTGATATTATTGTGTTGGCAACTGGAACATATTATGGATTTGTGGCATTGTTGTATTAACAACTTGACATATGGTTTTATCTTAAAATTCCTCCCACGATGAGTAGTTTGTCTGTTTCCCGGTAATGATGAGTAGTTTGCTTTACATTTGCATTGGTTATATTTCTTTATCTTTTTACCAAAAAAAAAAAAACACAGCAAGGAAATTGATTATTAAAGAAGAAGTTATTCCTCTTATATTAAAAAAGAAAACAAGACTGGGGTTTTTCTCTTTACTCTTTCTTTTTTCATAACTAGACATGGGTTGTGTGTTAAGTATTGGTTAGATGAGTGATGCCCTTCGCTAAGATGATAGGGTTAGATAAGATAATTAAAAATATTAATTTACTGTTCAAGAAAAATGGAGGGGAAAAGAGGATTAATTCTTTTTAAAGAAAGACAAGGAAAAACAACTATATATACTTTAAATTTTTTTAGTGATTCCAGCTAATTTAAAAAAAACTAAAAAATATAAAAAATTATTTTAAAATTATATATCAGTTATGCTAAACACATATACAATGATTTATTTTAGTCTATATATTAGACCTATGCAAATTAAAATTTTTAGACATGTTTTGATTGAGTTCGTTTCTTCGACACTATATAAGCAATGTGTTTTACTTTAAATTTTGTTATCTATTATCATTACATATTAAAAATATATATAATAATTTCCTTTATTTTCACATAAGTTATTTTTGAATGTGCTACCTGGCCCGTATATACTAAAAATATGACCAACAATTTATTTTATTTAATTTATTTCAAAAGTAATTAAAATTTACATGAGTGGTAGTGACTCTTATTATTTAAGGAAGTCTGGAAGTGGTTGTTTACCCTTAGCTCTCTGTAAAGCGAGGAAAGTAATCTTTGCCCTTAAATTTTAGATAAGAATATCCCAAAAAAAATGATAACTTGTTACTTGTGCATATAAAAACTTAAACAACATATTTTATTTCATAATTTATTATCATATTTAATTTATTACCGGTGGATGTATAAATTATTTAAAAAATTAGAATTGATTGTTGTTAAATGTCTTGTGGTTGAGTGAAAACTCTCCAGCAAGTTTGATTTCATTTATAATCTCAAACCATCAATGCTTGTCTCTCTTAATTAAAATAAAAATTGATAACTAATTTTATAATATAATAGATAAAAAATATGTTGACATAATATTATAAAATTTAAAATAAAAAGATAAATCTGAAACAAGTTAAATTATAAAAATATAATTTTTTTTAGTACAAAAAGGCAAACCAAACCTTGGAGAAGTACATACTTTGCTAACTGATCAGCACAGCAGACTGACTCATGACCAGTGAAGGTGATTTCAATCTTCTCTAATTGACATAGCAAATTTAAAAATATAATTTAAAATGTAACTGAGGGAGGAGGCGACAAGAGATAACAATTTGCGGGGACCCAGTGTGCATGGGTTTAAGGTATGGCTGTGTTGGCGTTAGTATCATTTTTTACCTTAAATTAGGAAGCATTTAATGTAAGAACTGTTGAGGCAACTGTTACTCAGCAGTAAACCAATTTATCATTTACCATGACGAAAGATTCTTGCTTATAGTCACATGCATCATTTTATAATTAAATTAATTTTTTTGAGACAAATTTATATTTTCTTTATTTAAATTATAAAATATTTTTAAATAAAATTATACATATTAATAAAATTTATTAAATATACTTTATAATTATATTTTTTCAAAACAGAATTACAAACTTTCAAAAATATTTATCATTTATATTTCATTTGTTAAAAACTATTAAGAAAAGAGAATATATGAAAATAATAATATTATAAAAATATTATTAATAAAATTCTATTCTTGTTAAAATGTTTTACATTTTGAGATGTTGATTCTCCTTAAAAAATGTATTATAATTTGAGATTGGAGGTAGAGCCGAGAATAATAGCCGGGCTTTGAGGCCCTATTAAATAAGAGTTCGAGATTTGAAAATAAATTTTTTTAAAGTAATTGAGCTTGAAGGCTTGGCCCTAATAACCTTGTAAAAAAGGGTTCGAGACCGGACGACCCTTCAAGCCCTGTTATATTATTATTATTATTTTTTCTTTGATGGAACATATGTTTGAAGCCAATGACCTGCTCACCTGATCCTACATGCATTATATTATTATTAATTTTAATTTATCCTAAAATTAATTTAATATAATTTAATAAATATCAGTGTATAGTAGAAAATTTTTTATATTTTTATTTTTCTATAATTATTATACTTTTGTATTTATAAAAAAAGAACTATTTTTTAACTAAGATTTGGATTTTATTACTAGACTTCTAAATGTATGTTTAACTTTTTAAAAATTATGAAAATTTTAATTTTAAAATATTTTAATTAATTTATAATATTTTTATTTTATTTTATTTAAAAAAGGCTTACGGGCCTGACCTTGAGCTTTTCACATAAGGGCTGGGCTTGAGAAATGTGGCTAAAAATGGGAAATTAGATTTTAGGGCTCATGCCTTTAAGAGCCGGGCCTGCCCGTATTCTCAGCTGTAATTGGAGGAGGTAGTATATAATTTAACTCATTAAAAAAAGGTTCTAACAAATCAGGTGGGCCTCGGTCTCAGGCAAATGTTTCTTGTTAATCATAGTTTATTGGCAAAACAGATATGGAGATTGGTTAACTCATCAGATTCATTGCTAAGTTCCACATTCAAAAGGAAATACATTGATCTAAACTCCAGATGTGCAATCAGACAGCCCTATAATACCTCCTAGCTTGGATTTGGAAAGGAATTCTAAGTTGTGCAAACATTATTCCTTCTAACCTGAGATGGCAAATTGGTTGAGGGAATGATATTCCTATTAACAGTCCTTTCTGGGAATTAAAATTAAGGGATTTTAATTGTACGGATTTTCAAGAAGACTTGAGAGTCTCAGATTTTCTACAGGTTTCTTCTAATCCCTGGGCACCAATCTCTTGGAATTTGGCTAGTTTAAGAGCTTACTTCCTGCATAATCTAGTATCTACGATAAGCTCTCTCAACATCTCCCAGGTTAATTATAATGATAAGCTAATTTGGATTGGACATAACTCAGGCACCTATCTAGCGAGATTCGGGTTTAGGAACCTCAAGCAAGACTCTTTGATCACTCATCCCCCTTGTACGTTCCCTTGGGTAAGTATTTGGAAGCTCAAACTCCCCCACTAATATTGCTTACTGTTTTGGAAGTTTCTACATGAAGCAATTCCAATCTCTGATGTACTATTCAAGCATCATTTGTCTTCTACAAATGGAGGCGCCTTTGGATGCCAGGAAGAAGAAACGATAGCTCATCTTTTCTTTTCCTGCCCTGTTTCTAAAGCTATTTGGTTTGGTGGGGTCTTAACTTGAGAATAGATAGCCTAATTTCTCCTAATATTATATAATCAATTAAGTACTTTGTTAAGGATCTCATTGATCGCTCTGAGGAAGATTTGGTGCGAGACTTCATCATTGTTCTAAATCTAATCTGGGATTCAAGGAATAAAGCAGTGCATGAAGGAAGGAAACCAAAAATTGCAGTCATAATTAAAGAATTTCAGCATGCAAAAACTTTTCTGGACAATATCTGTACCTGGAATTTCCAAGATCTGGTTCCTTTCTCAGATCCGATACGTGCCAATCATCATCTGGATAATCTTGGTAATCTTCATCAGATGGAAGGCTGGATTATTTTATCTGAGAAAAAGAAAACAAGGACTTAAAGTATTTTCCAGATCAAAATTTTCCTTGCCTTAGAATCTCTCATCAATCTAGAATGGAGGAAGGGGAAAAGCTGTGGCCAGACCTTCATTCATATTTGAATGCATCAGATCTGCGCTTCTCTGGATTAAAACGGTAGAATCAAATGGAATCTGTAATAGCAGGACACTGAACACCGTCGGGAAGCTGGTGAATCACTTTGCGCTTTACAGGGACTTGAGATGTGTTATCAAGGAAGATATTTGCAAAATCATGGGCGGTTTTAAGGAAGTCAACATGGTAATACACTCTCACCTTGAAACTGCAGATACCTACTTTGTTGGTGTCCAGCTATTAGCTCAAATAACTTTTATTTCTTTTATTATCTTTTCCTTTACATTGCTATAATTTCCTTTCGTATTATTGACTTCTTATCAAAAAGAAGAAGAAAAAGAAATGACCAATGTGTATATATAGCAATGTGCCTCATCAACTTGCAATCAGGGCCATTTATATAGAGTATTCCCAACCACAACATCTCCCATTTCCATCATCATTATTAAATATTGATTCCTAACTCATGTATTTATAGTTAAACATTTTTATATATTATTTTAGTCTTATTTATAAATCATTCCTAACATATTTCACCACAATTAAAAAAAATAATAAAACACATTAATTCTGTCTAAAATTTTAATAATTTTATTAATTTTATATCTATTAAATATATATATATATAAACACACACACACATTTTAATAACATATCTCTTGTCTCATCAGGAACCATAAGCTAAGTTTATGGAAAATGAAACGGCGTCGTATCAAACATGTCAATTCACTGCCTTTGTACTTCAACCTTTCTCCAATATAATTCTCCTTCTACTCTCTTTCGAAACTGCCCCTTTTATATGAATAAAAAATCTTCTAGGTATTGTACTGTACTTAATTTGGGTGTCCTGTCCTGTAACCTTGTGCCAGGTAGTTGATTCATATTATATTCACTCAATTTAATGAATGAACGAAAGAATATTTTAACTTGAAATAACTCTAATGAAATATGTCCACATGTAAATTTGAGGATGCGATAAGGTTACTAATTACTAATGGGGATCAAGCACCGTTAAGTTTAATTCTTAAGATATTTATCGTGCGTTAATAAATATCCACTACTTAAATGTATTTTTAAGAAAAGGAATTTATCCATTTTTCAGGATTTTGAAGGGGCGTGAAAACATATAAGAACTCTTAAATTAAAATAGAAATAGATATAATTCCAATTACTTCAAAAATGGTGAGATCTTTGGCACAAATAGAGGGGTTGATCTGTATCATCTTGACTTGGTTCTAATTCCTCTATTTTTTAAGAATACTGAATCCGGTTCTTCTCCAAGCTACCCTTGTTGAATGAGGCATAATGAAGTTTAAATGCAATGTAATTGCAGAATCATGTACACATGTAAACAAATATGCTTGTGATTATTGATATCATCATGTCTCAGTCAATGGGATATCAATAGAAAAAGTGATGAACGCGTCTACCATGTTTTGTTCACCTATATTTATAATACAACCAAATTTTTCAAAGTTTATTCGATGTCCTTTTACGGAGATGATTTTTCTGACCACATTGTAATGAAGATGCTGATTTATTCTTTTGGTTTTGGGAAAATTACTCCCAATTAAGTTTCAAAATTCATCATTATTCTATGTCCTTTTGATTTTGAATATACGCATATTTTTATATTATAAACAATTTAAGTATGTTAAAATACATTTTAGAATAACATTTACGAAAATTTCAATAAGTGAAAAAGTTTATCCTCTATTTAACAACTTTTACGAGACTCATGTAAAAGAAAACAGAGAATGACACCTAAGTCCCTCATATAAGAAAAATTAGCACCTAAGGCCTAATACATTCTGAATCTATTTTGTAGGCCCAAAGGCCTTACATGCAAATATATAAAGATTCATTCTCCTCTGGTTTGAAAAAATAACATCGTGCGTAGAACATTATGTTGTTAATGCATGAATCATGTTATATATGGACATTCTGTTAGTCATACACCTAGAAAATTTAAAAATTACTATTTAACTAAACCACATGCTATGTATATGAACAGATATTGTGTTATTAATGTATAGATTTGTTAGGATATATACGAACATTCTATTGTTCATGCACCTAAAAAACTTAGACATTATTGTTCAACTAAACCACATGGACTATATATAATGAATGGATATTGTGTTGTTGATGTATGAATCTTTTCATGTTATATACGAACATTCTATTGTCCATACACATGAGGAAATTTTCATTATTGTTAAACTAAACTGCATGGACTATATAGTGATCAATAGACATTGTGTTTTAAATGTATGGACCTTTTCACATTACATACGGACATTTTATTATACATATACCTAAAAAACTTGTACATTTCAAACAAGAAGCAAATGAGTCTTTTTACTAGCAAACATATGTACATATTTAAGCTTACAAAATCAATTCAGAATGTATTGGGTATTAGGTGCAAATTTCTTTGATTTGGAGGCATTAGGTTCCATTTTCCAAAAGAAAATTACGTCTGTCACACTCCCACTTTCACATGTAAACATTGACTTCCAACTCCCAAGTCATCTTTGAATCCGTAGAGCGCTCAAAACGGTGTCGTAAATATTAAGATATGACCCACGTTCATAGTAATCAGGTTTTAATGGCGCCCCTGTGCGAGAATTCAAAGCCACATCGTGACGGTATACTATTTTTATGTGGACATGCAACTGCTTATCATTTAAGGTCATTTTTACTATTTTTGGTCCTGTTTTCTCTCTGCCAGTAAAGTGTCAAGAGTTAATCAATTAATATTTTGGAAATATTTTTTATTAAGTTCATGGATCAAATTCAAGTTTTTGCACCCTTCTATGTGGCACTCGTTCCAACACACACCGAGAAAAAAGGACGAAATTCATTAAAGAGTGGTACTTTAAAAGTCACATGCGAACTTCAGAGTCTCATTGATTTCCTATGATCAGTCCCTACAAAATACCAAAAGTAGAAAGATGAAAACCTAATCATTTTAAAGTTTCAAGAGGAATATTTGTCAAAAAATGGAAACATTTGGGCAAGAAAAGCTGTGGGGCCAAGAAAAAAGTATTTAAAAGAAGAGAGCACAGAATTTGACTTGATTTGATTTGACTTTTTTTGAAAACTTTTAACCAATTTTTTTAAATATTCAGACCAGTCCAAATGATTAGACTACAATCTATATGCAAAAGTTTCTCGATTTGAGTCTTTAACTTATGCATATTGGCTTATTACGAATCGGACGGGTTTGACAACTGGCTTGGTTGAATTAGCCATTAGGCAGGTCTTGCGCGGGGGAAAAATTGGCGCCTTATAATATCCTAAACCATTCAATCTTAATTATTGTGATGTAATGGAACATAATATGGATTTGTGCTATTGTTGTATTAGTAACTTGACATATGGTTTTATCTTAAAGTTCCTCCCACGATGAGTAGTTAGCTTTTTTTTTTTTTTGGTAGTCGATTAGTAGTCTGCTTTTCATTTGCATTTGTTATACTTCTTTTATCTTTTTCGGGAAAAAAGAGAGAAAAGAATTGATTCCAATTAAAAAAAGAAGTTGTTCCTGTTATATTAAAAAAGAAAACAAGATTGGGCCTTTTCTCGGATTTTCCCATAATTCTTGCTTGATTCCAATTAAGATATGACCCACATTCACAGTAATCAGGTTTTAATGGTCCCTTTGCGAGAATTCAAAGCCCTATTAGCCATCGTGAAGGTGTACCATTTTTATGTAGACATGCAATTGCTTTTCATTTAATTCATGTGGTCACTTTTACTATTTTTGGTCATGTTTTTGCTTTCTCTCTGTCAGTATAGTGTCATAAGCTAATCAATTAATATTTTGGACTGCGTTCACGGACCATTAGAATGATTCAAGTTTTTGAACCCCGTTATGTGGATACTCGCTCCAACACACCAATCAAAAATAGGAAGACATTCATCAAAGTTTTGAACTTTTTCTGGCCATTCTTGCCTGGACCAGGGCCTCTTCACTTCTTTTTCTCATTTTCCCTCCACTTTCCCAATCTTCACTTCCATATCATTTTATTAAATAATTTTTTAATTATAGAATTAATTAAAGGTGAGGATTGGGGAAGTGAAAAGGAAAGGAGAGAGAAATGAAGAGGCCCCTAATCCATTCTTTCCCATACTAATAATTAACCAAACCAGGCCTCACCAAGTGGTACTTAGAAGTTATCACATGCAAACTTGAGAACCTCACTAATTTCCTATGATCAGTCCCTGCAAAATACCAAAATAGGGAAAAAAAAGGAAGGGGTTGGCAAGAAGAGTTCTGGAACCAGGAGAAAAGAGCATCTAATGAAAGATATCACATGGATGAATTTGATTTGATTTTGCACTGACAGCAAGATTTCTAATCTGGACACCTGCCTCCTGGCCGAGCATAAGTAAAGGAAATAATTAAAAGAAGCAAATAATGAATGCTCTTACAGTTCTTAATTATCTGTTGACCAACACAAACATGTCTTCTCTTTCACTCCAACTTTAATAACTCTGGAGCCCATCATCCACACTTCCAGTGTTGTTTGTAAATTTTTGTTGTTTATTTAGGAATCTGACCCTGCTTTCTAAATTGTTTTTAAAAAATAAATTGCATGAGATAATAGTTTAGTTTTGTATAACTATTACACGGTGAATAACCTGGGAAATAATAAGAGTCAAGGTAAAGCCTAAATTTCGTGATCAATGAAAATTAAACATACCATAATTAATCACATGATAAAGGACTTGGTCGTGATTATAATAAAGAATGCTTCTCCAATTTCTGCCCTTATTTTTGCTTCTCTTTCTGGGAAGTGGTACCATCAAAGAGAAGCAATAATGAATGCTTATTTACGATTAGAAACAAATATAGACCCCACCTGCTTCTAGTTGTTCAAGTGAAAAATAAAATGAAATGAATCTTGTCGCTGAGGAGAAAGAATACAGACGTAATTGAAAATACAGCAGAGCCGTGCATGTTGCTTGTTCTGTGTTCACACCCAAAAATGGAAACCAAGTGAATAAATGTGCCCTCAAAATTCAAAATGTCCATTAAAGATTATATCCCGAAACAGAAAGCCCCTCACCACTGCAACAAAGATACACAGACTTGAATATAATTATTAATCTTGAGTTATTGCGGGCGAGGTCATATAGGCAACTATACTGTATG